TAAGGAATATTGGAGCTTCAGGGGGCTGTGTGTCTCCGAGCTCTTCCTGCTCATGGAGCCTGGGAGCCCCTCTTGCAGGCGGGAGCGTGCTGGAATTCTCACCTTGAAGGACCTCTAGCCGAAAGGGTTTCAGCTTGCACAACAACTTTCCCCCACGCGCGCTTTCAACAAGACTCGAAGCCCTAGGACGCACTTTCTAGGAGTTCGTGTTCTATTTTCATGTGAGCTATAGTCTAAACTCCTTATAGGGGAGTATGATACGGCTACTAAGGGGGATACTAGGAGTTTGGGCTATAGCTCATGTATTCCTCCCAAAACCAAAAGTTCTGTCTCGGGGCAGATGAAGGCCTGGTGAAAGGGAGTAAGGGAGACACAGCCCTCCCATCAAAACAGCTACAGCTTCGGCTTTAAATCCAATCCATGGGCCATCGGGGTTCCGGGCGCCAGTCCAGGACACCCCGACGTTTTCTAAGACTACTGCGCTGATTTGAGCTCAGCTCCAATGCGAGGACCCACGGAACATGGCGCGTGCTCAGGTGGAGAAGCCCGTCTCGAAACCACAGGGCGCGCGTGCAATTTACACAAAAAGGTTTTTGTTGGCGTCATTTTTGTTTTTGTAGCCAGAACTGCCAGAACGGGCGGGGAAACTTCCGAAGGGTTTGCATCCATCAGCGTCTACTTTGGGACTGGTGTTCGCTTGCTTCTGCTTTGTAATTGTTTTCGTTTGGGGCTTGTCGTCTTCTTGTTTCCCTTCAGCAGATCCTGTTGGAATCGATGGTCGTTGCTCTGTTGGAGGCCCTTGTGAGAGTGCTGCTGCAACCCTGCACGCTGAACCAGGAACTAAACGCTAAATCTTCAAACCGCAAACCCTGTGTTTGACCCTATAGATCTGAACGGCATGAGTCGACAAATCTTGCCATGTACGTGCCGGGGTACGCAGCTTTGGTTCCATCTTCTTCTCGCTTTGGCCTGTGAAGTTGTTCGTCTACTTGGGGGATGCTTGAAGGTCATTTGTATCGGGAATGGGTGCTGCAGAAATCCAGCATGCAATTGGGGAGCGGTGGTATTGAACTCAGCTCGGCATCGATATGTATCTCACAAGAGTTCTCAAGTTGCAGGGCGTCTACTTGGGGAATGGTTGCTTTTGACATGGTTTTGGTAATTGGAATCAGGTCACCGGCTCGAAGCTTGGCAGCGCTTGCCAAGGTCGGGGAAAGATGGCTGGATCAGTTTCGTCTCCCACCTCTGCGTAGTCTAGTATACTGCGTTGCTTCTATGGACTCAGTTCTTCTACTACAGCTGGTGTAGGGTACCTGGAGGCGACGGCCCCGATTGACGCTCGTGCCTACCACTGCAAACCTCCCGCTCACGGGCTTGGGAACATCCGCTGCAGCCCAGGAGGAGCCAGCCGCCCTTGCAGCCAATAAGCGGCTCCGACTTCAATCGGACATCAAGAGGCTGCAGAACCAGCGGGACAAGGCTGGCGGGGTCAAAAAGACATGCGAAATGCTTTCTCAGCGCGCAGCATTCCTGAGGAGCGGGAAGTTGCTGGTGGCGCAGCTGGACCACTCCTCTGAGAAGGCAGTAGAGTACGTCGGGGAGGAGGAGGTTCAAGCATGAAATTGACCTATTTCTGTCAAGCACGTCGAGTCCAGGGCTTTGGCTCGATTCCTTTGGAGTGGACAGGCAGCATGGCAGCCATTGCTGCTTCGACCGAGCGAACTACTCGCAGAGCCTCTCGAGGAGAGACTAGGTTGCTTTAGATACAATGCATGTGCCTGAGCTGTCAGGAAACTTAGGGACGAATTTGGCGCTGCGATCCACAACGCCGGCCTGAGCCATGCGCTGTAGGTGCTAGGTACCAAGATCTGAAACGCATAATCTCAAACTCTCAACTCCCAAAGCCAATGCCCAACTTAGGTCCCTAAACCCTACCTGAGCATCGAAATCAAGCTCCTGAAAACTCCACTAAACCCTGGATGAGGTCCTCCAGGCCGAGCTGGACGTGACTTAGCACATCCACATGGGACCTTAACAATATCTGGGAATTAAAAACGGATTCGGGGGTTCTATGGGGATAGATCAGGCTTAAAGGTTTCTAGGGTTTACGGCTCCTTTCATAGGCCTCGTGGGAGTTTTTTTTCCTGAGGGTTAGGATGTTTTTTGGCTTATATTGCCGGCCCCTATGTTTGGAAACCCAAAAATGTCCCAGGGTCTGGGTGTAGCCGCTTGGTGCTTTGGGCTTAGGGTTGAGGGCTTATGTTGGTCTTGTGCTTACGGAAGCTGAATGCTGATTTTGATGAGATTTTGGAAAGCTGGTGGACTTTTTTGGGGCTTCAGAGGTAGACAGGGATTCTCGCAGCATGACCAACTGTCCCCTTGCGCAATAAGCTGCGAGAAGCTTGGAATTTTGCTCCTTAAAGTTTGAGCTTGGTCACTGAGACTTTTGCACTGCCCCTCAAGTTCTGAGTCATAGGCATTAGATGTTCCTTCAAGTTTTTTGTGGCAGTGTCCTCGAAACCTTCCCCCTCGTTGTTCTGCACGAGGTGCAAGACGAAGTGGAAATGGTGTTCATCGGATGGAACGGATGTAGCAGCTTCAGGTGGGAAGGGATTTGCATTTGGAATTGCACACATACTGACAAACGGCTGTTTGGCAATAACCCGTTTCGCACCACATTCTCCAGGCGACCTCTACGTATACCAGCATGAGGCATCAGGAGCAAGGTTCTGCAGTCTTTTGCAGCGATTTTGCAGGCAAGCCAGTTGTACGGATGCAACAACTTTAAATTGCCATGCTTGTTGCCATGCTTGCCATCCTGCAGGCATCACCGGTATAGGGTATACGGTTTATGGGGGGAGGATATAGGGGTATTCACAGCCGTGGGTCCCGAACATTAGAGAAGGCTCCACAGAAAATTCTCGCAGGAAAAGCCCCTTACCGTCAAAACGCTTCGGAACCCCAAGCCGGGCCATAAAACCTTAAGCCAACGTGTTGAAGAGTCACATCCAATCCATGCATAAGCCCGGAGATGACCATGCAGAACCCCACAAGTCCTGGGGGGCTTGACTGAGATTCCCAATTCCGCAGAAACCTCAAATCTGCAGATATTACATCTCTGGACCTTATCCCCCTAAGCTTTCGATCCCAAAAAATTGATTCCTTACACCTTAAGTCCCTGCACCCAAAATCTTAAACCTTGCGTCCCCAGATCCCGAAAATCAAAGCTTCAAGCCCATCGCCAGGCATGGTTGCCACGAAGTGGCGAGTGTGTTAACTGAAAACGATGCCTGCAAACCCGGTGCAGACCCAGAGTTCTATGGTTTCTTGGGCTTAAAAATTGCCGCCTAGCGTTTTTTTAACTGGTAGAGTTTGTGGCTTAAGGTTGGGAATAAGGGTTTAGTGTTTGATGTTGGGAGCGCAGGTTCTGGCGTCTGGGGCTCGACGTTTTTGCGGTTAGAGGTCGAGGCCCTGGTGGGTGTAACAAGGGAAGTCATGAAGGAGTAGGTGGTAGAGCGGACCAACAGTAAGTTTACAACAGCTCCTACTCACCCAAGTTTAGGGGGCTACGGCTTTGGGACTTTTGGTTTGTAAGGGTTACGGGTACATGGTTTTGGGGTTGAGGGTTGGAGGTTTGGGGTTTCCAGGGTTTAAGGTTTTTAGGGTTACGGGATGATCCTCTGTGGGTGTTTGTTTTCTGTATGTCTGCAAAGGCTTCTACTTCGCACGCACGCTCGAGACTGCCCGGGGCTACACAACGAGAATCAAAGAGAAGGCTGGTAAGCTTCCCACGGAGAACTGGGCAGATGTTAGCGATCTTTTATAGGAGCTGCGGATGTGCCTATACAATGTTTGCTTGCAGTTCAGAGTTGATTGTTGCCGTTTGCAGGTATGAAGTTGCATACATGAATGGATCCTTTCTTTCCTTCTTGAAGTAAATACTTGGAAGGTGAGGTTGGCTTAGTACGTAGGTTAGTAACCCCTGGAACCCATGTAGTAAACCTACGATCCCCAATATTAAGGCCCCGGTAAGACCCTTTAATCCTAAACTCCACAAACCCTACACCTGAAACAAAAAACCCTGTATAATATTCTAGTTACTACGTCCCCCACAAGACCTTCAAATACTGTAATTGCCACGTTCTTTTCCATCATTCGGGACTAAGGAGAAGTGCGGCTTCATCCGGCGTGTGTATGTGCCAGAAACCAGCGTGGTAGTGACGGTTCCAAACCTCGACAAAAAGGAGAATCCGCAGGCTGCCTTTTTGAAACTACATGAGCTCCTTGGAGTTTAGGGGTTTCGAGGTTAAAGGTTTCAGGGTTTAGGGTTTAGGCGTTGGGGTTTAGGATTTAGGGAGTTGTAGGTCTTTATGAGTTAGGCTTGCATGCATTCAGGGATCTTGTCTGGGTGGTAAATGCCTCAGGTGATAGATCAGATCCGCCATGCGCGGAGAGGTCATCCAAATGCGATTCTGGATTGACAAGAAGCCTATTTGTTTTTGGGCATCCCCTACATATTCTTAGACAACATATAGTCCTGCCCCATAAAAGTTGAGCAGCGAAGGATTGTCTTTGGCCGGGCTTCACGTGACGAGGATGCTGGATGGGAACCTGAGCTTCCCTCTCGTACGTGCTTTTAAATTGGGTACTGCCCCCACTCTGTAAAAGTCGGATAATATTCATAATATAGTTCTACTTATATAGTCCTCAGTATGACCCCTCATATCGGCTGTTACATGGTGGGGGCAGTACCCAACTGTTACACCTTTCGTGCTGGATAATGCACCGCGGCTATCTGACAAACAGCCCTAATCTAAGTAAGGAAGGAATCATCCCACAGGAGATGATGAAACTGGTGGCTGGGTCGATTTTCTGCGTGCGTTGCTTGATTGTTGCTCATGGGTCACTATAGCCACGGGAACCTTGATATGAGAGTTATTCAAGGCATCCCTTACCTTAGTCTCAGTCTTGCCAGGGTCCCCCAGAATACTCCACACATGTCTCTTGGGTTTCCACTGGTCATCCGTTCTGAGAAGGCCCAAGATTGTGGACAGGAGCAGACTTTGTGGTTTGAGGAGACAACGGCATTCCCCCGATGTACCCCAATCCTTGTTATAGGCACTCTTTGGAACACCGCCTGAGACTGTCACCATAGTCCATCCTCAAAGCCTCGCTATGAAAGTCCGGCAATGCTTGTAATTCTGATTTTTGACCATCCCCGTAAAGATGATGATTATGTGTTACGAGGACCCGCCACCTTGTAGTCCATACCAAGTGTTCTCCCCCATTCTATAGTCGGGAACAAACCCCGCTTCAGAAACTATAAATCCGCGCCTCAGAAGCTGAAAAGCCCTGATTCAGAAACCAAACTCCCCGCTTCATGAACTAAATCTATATTCCTCCAAGCCATGGGGGAGGGGGGTGGGAATTGCGGTGAGGGTGTCAGGGCTTTAGTTTCCGAATCAGAGGGTGTCAAGGCTTTAGTTTCCGCATTTGTGTTCTGTGGTTTCCGAATCTGGGTTTTTTTGGTTTCCAAACTAGGGTTGGCAGTCTCCGAATCAGGGGGTGGCCTAGAGTCGGGGAGTATTCATCATTGGGGGGATTGGGGCGTTGCTCTCTCACAGGGAGGAGCTATACATGGTCCGAACCCAACCTCCTGTCAATTCGCGAAAAGCCTGCGCAGCCCCATATTGAGCACTTGGACCCTTCCGTGCTAGTCGGGCAGATTTCGGGTGGCACCGAAACAGCCCTCCACAATGATGTATAGTCCCCCTTAATTAGATAGAATATGGTGTATATGGGTATCTTGTTATAATATACTCAAAAGCCATATTCTATCTACTTAAGGGGGACTATAGGTGCCCTTGCCATCCCCCTGTGTGTGTCTTCTCTGGAGGATGCTGCGCACTAAACCCTCCAAGGTCCTGCTTCAAGGAATTTAGGGATTCACGCCCTGAACCCTGAGCACTAAGCCCTAAACCCCAAACCCCAAACCCTAGACCCTAAATCCTAAACCCCAAACCCTAAAGCCTAAGCCCTAAGCCAGCAAAGGTGAACTTGAAGCCAATTGAAGACGAGACCAAGGAAGCTGAGGCAGTCCTCTGGGCTCCGACCATACGAACTTGGGACGGTCAACCTGACCAATGGCCGAGGTTACAAAGTTGAGGGGTTTAGGGTTTATAGGGTTTATAGGGTTTGGGGTTTATAGGGTTTAGGGTTTATAGAATTTAGGGTTTAGAGGGTTTAGGGTTTATAGATTTTAGGGTTTATAGGGTTTATAGGGTTTATAGGGTTTAGAGCTTAGGGAATCTAGGGCTTGCAAGATTTCTGGAGCTGCGACTTAGCATGAAGGGTCGCGGCTCTAGGGTTTAGATTCTAGGGTGCAAAGTTTAGGGAACAAGTAGTTGTTTTTTTGCAAAATCTGGTGCGAAGCTAGGAATGTTCCTGTTTTCAAGTTGTCGACCTGTGGGTGATTTCAGCGGCGACTTAAAGAATTTCCAAGTTATGGCCCCAAATTCCTTGTCTAACTGGCTCCAGCAGAAGATCTCAATATGACATAGATAGTGATACAGGCTTCTACTACCTTCCAAGACCCCCGCAGCTTCCATGTCATGTTCCCTTGTTCTTCTCCGTTGATACTTTTCCATCATTGGCATTGTGAGGTCCCGGCTTGGTGCTCAGGAAAAAACAAAACATTCCTTCAAATATGAAAGACCCCCACCGCAAATAGATGTTCTCATCGTAGTTTCTTGTGGTATATTTGGAATTTATTTTTCATTCCTGGAGTCCATTTCAAGGGGGGAAAGTACTTTGGTTGACATATGGGCTGTCTGTATGATAACTACTGCAAACGCTCTCATACGGCACGACTAGTCCGAACGTCAGAGGGCACTCATTTTCTTAGCTAGAAGGGGCAGTGAAAATGCATATGTCTAGGAAATCCAGAGCACTGACTTTCTTAACCAATGCTTTCTTAAACAGAGCCGGCACTGTACTGCAAACGCTCTCATACGGCACGACTACCTATACGACATCTACGCCTAGGCATATGGCTGAACCCTAAACCTCGACCCTGGACATTAAAAGTGATAATGGGAAAGAGAATGGAAACTAGTATAGTACATAGGAGTTAAATAGGGATAGCGGAAGTTACTATAGTATATAGGGGTTATATAGGTACAATGGAAAGGGAAATCGAAAGTACTATAGGGTTTAGGGTTTAGGGGTACCAGCCTCAAAGCGAGAACAGAACGATGCATTTGCTGACCTTGCGCGTGACACGGCACGGTGCACGAAACAGGTGCCAGGCGTGGGAGTTCTGCACAGGGTTTAGGGCTTTAGGGTGCAGGTGTTGGGCTTTAGGGTTTAGGATTAGGATTAGGGTTTTAGGATTTACCGTCTCAGGTTTTACGGTTTTTCGGGGTTGCGAGGCCTTTGGGGTTTCAAGGTTTCAGGGTTGTAGAGTTGAGGGTTTGGGACCCCCACGATTCACCATATCCTTGCTAGATTGGGCATGTGTCCGGTCGCATGATAACCTTCCCCTACCACTGTGGGATATTAGACCTTAAGGGTACCTTAATCTACCCTTCATAGGGTCCTAATACGGAATCTTAGGGTCTAATGGCCCATAGTGGTACTAGCTAGACTCTTAAAATTGCTTTCGTCTGGCTGTGCCAAAACGTATACAGGGATTTGCTAACCCCAAGCCCTATAACACGAACTCAAAAGGTGTAGTGTCATGTCCCCATAGGTTCCTTGCTACCTCCGCAGGATCCCCTCGCAGTTAGGTCTGATTGTCCCTAGATACTCCCAATTAACTCCTGGGGACTTAGCTTGGACCTTAGGCCCTTAACCCTTTGGGATTCCCTGATACTTATACTCCTTCTAGAGGTACCTAAAGGCTTAACCCTTAGTAGGGGTCCTAAGTGCCACGTAGTTAAGAGGGAGCTCAAGCCAGAAGGGTGGAATTAAGGTTCAGGGGGAGGGATGGGATTTTCCCTCCCTTACACAAGAATTGGAACCCCAGAAGCTCTTTCCCCGAACAATACAGTAAGCTTCGGAATGAAAGGAAATTCATTATTCGGGAGTGCGTACGGTTCATGATAAGGGACGGGATAAGAGCCGCTGTGTCAGGGGACGATGGTTGTTAATAGCGCGTTCTGTCTGTCACCGTAGAACGTCATTTTTTGATAGTCATAAGGGGCCGTGTCCAAAACTCAGGCTCAAGTTCATGTACGTTGACATACCTGGCGGCATCTCATCAGCCATAAGCCTAAAACTGTACGTGTGGATGACAAACTGCTTACTGCCCGCTATAACTTGCTTATTTAACCTTTTACTTGAGCGACTAGTTCCACACACAGGGCACGGATCACAGGTAGATCAGTGGTTTCCATAAACTCGGTCACATGTGTGCAAGCCCGAAGGGGCCGGGAGTATCAGAATGACCCATATGTACGATTTTTCGCCAACCTACAGCACGAACAGGTTAAACGCACGATAACCGCAGCAATGTGCCACTTCCAGTACATCCGGGCCCAGGGCGGTAATTAAAGCCTTCAAGAAAGCAAACGCGTGGACAAATCCTAACCCTTGAGTCCAGCAACTCTATACCCACAAACCATCCCCACAGCCCTGGATCTTGAGAATTGAAACAGCCTACGCATGGATGGCTTCGGAATGCGCTTGCAGTGGTTTGCTTGCTTTCTGTGCACTGTGACCTTTGGGACATATGGTCGCGATGCCTATCGCAAGCCGACAAACTTCCCGGACTTCCTTGACTATGACTGTGCTTCCATGCAGACTAAGCTTGTGGTCTACAGCCAACAATTGGGTTGTGACACGTGACCATAATTTTGGCACTGGTCCTTCCAAGCCTTCCTGCGCAAGGGTGTTTGGTTGAGGTCTCGATTTTGCTGGCTTGCTGGGGCATGTGACTTTATCTTTCAAGCCTTGCGACAGTGTAGTAGAGATCAATGGGCACCGCCACAGCAGCTGTAAACTAAGCTGCGCAGGAGATTACCATCCAAAGCTTTTACATGAAGAGAAGACGTCTTTGGAGGGTTCAGGACGCCATGTCAGCATGCATGAACACGCGCACTTCACGCAGCAAAGCAGGCGTCGTAATTTGTGACCGCTTGAACTTGTTTTTCAAGGTTGTCATGTCTTCAATTCTCTGGGCATTGCATGAGTGGCGCTTGCAGGAGGCATGTAACAGAAATGGAATCGACATCTGACTCCAGGCAGAATGAATTGACCCGGACGTTTCAGAACATCCAAGGCCCTCAAGTACAACCCCTTCGAAGAGATCTGAGTCTCCAGGCTAAGTCACATCAAAAAAGTCCTGCTAGTCTTTGCCTTCTATCAACTTAGAAAGACGACGTCTAAACGTTAAGCCATAAACTTTGAACCAACAACTCTCACCCTAAAAGCATAAGCCCAAACCCACAGAGCTTAGGTGCCTTGGCGAGTACTCGACCAGGGTCTGTGGCTGATTGGAACCAAGTCTACGATCCTTGGAGTCTAAGGCTTCAGGTGTTTGATTTTTGCTGGCTCATTGTTGGACGCATTTGGAAGTTTTCAAGCATAGAGGGTGCCTTTTGGGGTCCTGCATTTTTGGATGTACATGGAAACGCCAGTTACCTAAAATGTGGCATGCTCTTCACATTTTAGAGAGAAACTCTATAGCTGCTGCTTCTAGAATGCAGCAGTTGTGTTAAGGCCGAAACATTGATCCAGATTTGGGGAACCAGCACCAGGGTGCGTGTGGCTTTAGGATTGGACCTTCGCCGCTGAGATGTAGTGCGTGTCTAGCACATAGAACCCAAATCCGAGAGATTCAAAATTCAGGCAACACATACTGTGTCCCCTATATCCCCTGTATTCTATCCATTTCAGATGAGAAGCCTGGTTTAGCCCTGCCCTGGTTTGAAGCTTCAGGTTAAGCCTTTTAGGTTTGTAGATAGTTTTGTATGCGATTGCTAGCAGCAAACGGTTGAATGCAGGCGGTCTCCGGAAAAGTGAGATCAAGATGCCCAAAATTCAATGCCTCCTGAAAACACACGGTGCAGCGATACTGAAACCACCTCTGGGACCCGAAGAAGAGTCGAAGGGGTTGCTGTTGGTGACCAGCCAGCAACATGAGCAGAGCAAATCCCAGGAACCTCACATGCCAACCCTAAACCCACCAACTCGACACCACCTAGGAGCTCGTGCAATCGGCCTCCGCCGCCCCAAAGCCCCAGATCTCCGATGTCTCTTTCCCAAAAGGCTGGGTCTTCAATTTCATCATGGAAAACTTCTTTGAACGTAGTTGTCAGTAGTATCTCTAGAGGTTCAGGTTCAAGGTAGTGGGTTTGGTGCTGGGAAAGTACACGGAAATCTGACCCGAAATCGCTTCGTTGCATGGGGACCGGTGATGTAGGGTTTTGATCTTTTGAAAGAGTCCCCAAGGGTCTGGTATATGATCTGTGCCCAAGTGGATTCCTGTATCCGTACTTCGGGCCCAAAGGATTTACCATTTAGTACTGAGGAATTCTCAGACGGCTTGTGCAGGGACTGTACTATGAAATTCAATGCTCTGGCCTTTGGCGGGTCGCTGAGCACCAAAACCTCAAGTCCATACAATACGGGCCTCTTTGGGGGAGTCTTTATAAGGATTTTGGTCTATTGGGGTCTAAACTTGAGTCCTCCATTTCTGGATTCAGGGTTGTAACAGTGCCTTAGGGAAACCATGTGACCTGCCCGAACTTTGAGGCGCTATCAAATTCGGATGGCGTTTCCGTCATCCCATGCTTGAAATATTTTGAACCAGCTCACGCGCTCAGCTCTAGATGCTCTTTTCCGGAATAAAAAGCCGTAAGCCTCTTTTCTTAGCTGTTGGCTGCAAAGGCCTGGAATATTTGATTCTGCCTACAGAGAAGATGAGATTGCAGCGAATACCCGAACGTGCATCAGCGGAATGCCCACTTGGACGCTTTCCTGGCTGGAAGTCCCATCTTGATGTTTGGTAGTTCGCCTGAAAACTACCCCGACAAAATCCTTAGTGGGAACGCCATCATATCCTTTAACATCGCCATATTTCCAGTCTTCAGGGGCGCCCCATGTTGATAAATTCCCATGTTTGATTTGGCAGTTTCCATCCCTCTTGGGCGCATGTAGGATTC